TCACATTTATATACTTAAAAAGTATATTCACGTTTCTGTCAGCTGGACTCACATGAACGGCGTATTCTGGTCTCTGTAAGTTGGACTGTCCTGAAAGGGGTTTGCAGGTCTCTGTATTTTTTGGACTGATCTAAGCGAGGTATTTCGATCTCTGTAAGTAGGACTTTCCTCAAAGGGGTATTCCGGTCTGTTTAGTTTGGACTGTCCTAAACGGGGTATGCTGGTCTGTGTAGTTTGGGTTGTGCTAAATGAGATGAGCCGGTCTGTATAGTCCAGACTGTCCTTAATGGGGCATGCCGGCCTGCGTAGGTTGGGCTGTCCTACAAGAGGTGTGCCGGTCTGTGTAGTCTGGACTTAATGGGGTATGCCGGCCTGTATAGGTTGGACTGTCCTAAATGGGGTATTCCAGTCTGTGTAGTTTGGTAAAAAGGTAAAGGTAAAGTAGAGAGATGTCCGCCAGCGTCATTGCATACGGTTATAAACCATAAGTGCTCTGCCACCAGTGCGAACAGCTGATAAGAATTGTCTGGCTGTGTTGCCGTTCGCTCGTAACTCTGTAGCTACAGCAACGTTCCTCCATTTACCTCAGAATGTCAACTCTGGTACCCATTTCCTGGAGGCTGGGTGAACCCCGGTAGCCGCCTGGTTTCGAAAACCGACGGTGGACTGCAGTGAGTCGCAGCTGGATTTGAAAGCGAGCTTCTTAACGACGGGGCTAACGCGACTCCTGTGTGTAGTTTGAAATGTTTAAAATGGGGTATACCGGTCTGTGTAGTTTGAACTGTTCTAAAAGGGGTATACCGGTCTGTGTAGTTTAGGCTGTCCTAAATGGCGGTTCCGGTCTGTGTAGTTTGGACTGTTCTAAAAGGGGTGTGCAGGTCTGTATAGGTTGGACTGTCCTAAAAAGTGTTTGCCGTTCTCTATATGTTTGACCATCCTGAATGGGGTATGCTTGTCTCTGTAAGTTGGACTGTCATGAAAGGTGCATTCAGATCCAAGTTGCACTGATCTGAACGGGATATTCCGGCCTTTGTAAATTGGACTTATCTGAAGTGGGTATATGTTTTTTTTTTTTTTTAGACTGACCTGAAAGGTGTTTTCTGTCTCTGTAAATTTGACACTCTGAAGGATTTATTAAGATCTCTAAGTTAAGCTGTCCTCAAGGATGCATTCACGTATCTGTAAGTCGGAATGTCCCTAAGGTTATATTCAGGTATCTGTAAATTGATGTCCTGACGGATATAGTCAAATCTCCATGATTACATAAATTAAATATTTTACGACTTCAGCACATCGGGCATATATTGACAGACCCACGGTTATATAAGACCAGTTGGTATTCGATCAGTTAAATAATCAACATCAGGTCCGACGCCTTTATTACCGAGAACATTACCTGGTTTCAATTTTAGGCTTATCCCACCTGGAAACCAAGGTCGTTTTGAAAACAGACGAAAAAAAAACGCTTTACTTAAGGATACTAAGTTTAGACTGGTTTAGACAGATTTACACATAGGACATCCGGGCAGACTGGCGAGCTTCTAGCCGCTCTGCTCCTTCAGTTCTCAATTCGGGTCTATGCCAGGCAAATTTCTTTTTTTTTTTTTTTTTTTTTTTTTTTTTTTTTTTTTTTTTTTTGTGAAAAAAGAAAAAAACAGGTGCCGGTACTCAACATTTGAGACTTTAAAAAGGTGCCAGTACTTATTTCAAAGTGTCTATTATAATTGGGCTGAAAATATGGTGCACAAAAGAGGTGCCGTACCGCCAGGGAAAAAAACAACCTGAGTCTATTTAAGTTCGAGACTCGTAACTCGGAAAGCTGAACTATCTTGCAGCATGCATTTGAATAAGTGCTTCCCGAACCTTGAGGCACTGGCCACTTGGGAAACATCCCCCCCCCCCACCCCACCCCCGCTGCCCCCTCTGAAATGTATAAAGGGGATATGCAGCACTTAATGCAATATATAGGGGGATTTTCAACCTCAAAAAATATATGTAATAGGATCTGGAACTCACAAAAGAATCTCTTAAAAACAAGTGTCGGTATTCAGCTCAGTGTGGCTGTTACGACATGCTTGTTAGGGAGGCAGTTGTTCTAGTCTTGTTTTTTTTTTCCTAACAATAGGCGCTCGGAACACACAGAGAACCGCCTTTACTTTTTTTTATAGCATGGCACATAATGATGATATGTTCGGGGGAGGGAGATGGGGGCGCTGATCGATTTTCTTTTGGTGAAAATGGGGCAGTGGACCAGATAAATTTGGGAAATACTGGTCTTGCCGCTACACCACCCACCCCCCTTCCCCACCCACCCCCCTTCCCCACCCACCCACCCCCCTTCCCCACCTCTCCAGGACTATGGTTAGGGATATTTTCAAGTTTCTGTGATCTGGACTATTCTCAAGCAATGCGGTTCTCAAACTGCGGGTCACAACACAAGAATGTACAAGAAAGTTAAGATTGGGCATTCAGGACTTTGTCCATGTGAACAGGCACCACAGAGTATTGAACATTTGCTACACACATGCTGTCTACATGCAGCAGAGAGATCCCAGTTTTGGGCTGTGCATCCCAATAGAAACCAAGACGTGTGAAACAGTGACAGACTCTCGTCGAACCGCAGACATCATAGAGGCCTAAGGCCTTCTCATCAGAACACTACTGACAGGGAGAATGGACAGAAGAAGAAGATATCAATAACCAACAAACCTAGTGAAACGACAGTCTCTTCCATAGTGCCACTCCTTTAAACTCCACCCTGATTCTGGTGCGTCGGGGATTGTAAGACACGTACACTGACTCCTAAGCCACAGAGCCTTCCAAAACATCCTATTAGAGAGACCTGAGTAAAGAGAGTGGAGCCCTAACACAGAATTTCACAGAGCAATGAAGACAATTGAATTCTAAGGATACCTCCATCACGACGCTGAGGGCACGTATGGATTAGGAAATGAGACATTATTCTCAAGGGGTCACACAATTGATACGCAGAATACGTGAGTGAGTCAGTGAGAGAGAGAGAGAGAGAGAGAGAGAGAGAGAGAGAGAGAGAGAGAGAGAGAGAGAGAGAGAGAGAGAGAGAGAGAGAGAGAGAGAGAGAGAGACTTACAAAGTGAATTAAGTCCATTACTTCTCTTATTCGTTCGAAATGACGTTGACCATATCACCCACTGACTGACGATTGGTCTATACCATTTAGTTCTAGCCTAATATACCCAATGCTCGTGCATAGGGAACTTTTTTTTTTTTTTTTTACTTTTTTTCATCGAGCTGGATTTTATAATTGAAGTTTGAACAACGGATCAACATCATGGCACACGTGTAGTAACCCATAAGTGCTCCGTTCTGCTTCTAACTCAAGTCTGAGTCCGAAGAAGCTCACCATAGTGCATAGGCTCTGAAGCACCGGCTAGGATTCTGAAATACTTTGGGTAGATTTTTAACTCCAAATTTTGTCCGGGCAGCGCCGTTAGCCTACTATTTTTGATTTCCAACTGCCGAGGGATTTTTTTAAGTAGGCAACAATACACACGGGCGTCCGATCTCACTACCCAGAGACAATGTGGAATTACTAGAAGTCCAAGTCCACGTGAAAAAAATCCCAGCCCTTACCGGGGATTGAACCCGGAACCTCTAGCACTCGAGGAGGACGCCATGCCCCGAGACCACGCAGCCCCTGCTGGATTTTTTTTAATGACCTTGACTCCCAGGTCTACCAAACCTAAAATCGGTACCAAGGAAAAGTCATGGGAAGTAAACAGGGCCGGTGTGATGACAACATTACCGGTCGTGTGTTGATAGGTCTAATAACAATATAAGTCTAGCATCATCTGGCCCAATCAGTCTTCGTGGCAAAGCGGTCACGCTGTTTGCCTCGTGCTTTGAACGTCGTAGGTTCGTTACATGGCGGCGCCGTTCCGTTTACGAGTGCAGTCTTTACGGTGATCCCTGGGGATCGTCGCCAGAGTTACGGAAGTTATGTTTTCTGCGACGCTCTCAGTAGGCAACTACCTATCCTGCTGAGAAAGGCTGAGCCATATGGGATAAAAGCCGGTGCAATGAAGTCAATCCGCTCACCTTTTTTTACCTTAGGTGCAAAAAGTGGTCCTTTACCTATTACTATTTACTTCTACTCTTGTCTGGCACAGTGTTAGCGTAGTAGCTAGACGATTGCTCGAAGGTCTTCAGTTCAAATCCGCGAGGATGCAGATTTAAAAAAAAAATAACCTATGACTAAAAGGGCTGAAGCGAAACAACAAGAAATAAGAGGTCCAGTTGCACATAGAAGAGACTCGGTCACAAATGGCGATATCAGGAAACACGCTGTGGCGAAACCAGTACTCATCTACGTCAAGAGACAACAGATCAAATGGTTTAGACATGAATAGATGGAATAGGCTGTACACAGAAGATCTCATGTCTGGGCTAGAATATTTATGCCTAACGAACTCTCTTTTTCTTTATTTGTCTTGGTACTTAGGGCTTTTCACTTCTAGTACATATATATATACACACACACACAGAGACACACAGACACACATGCATGTATATGTGCATGTCTGATGTAGTCAGTGTGTTCCTATAATGACCCAGTACATCCAAAGATGGAGGGCTTTCAACCAGGTTGTTTACAAAACACTTCTTCCATGATAGCTCAGAAGACGGCAGAGAACATATATATATATATATATATATATATATATATATATATATATATATATATATATATATATATATATATATATATATATATATATATATATATATGTATATATGTATATACACATTTATGAACGCAATATATGATGATGATGATGAAGATGGTGATGATGATGATGATGATGATAAAGATGATGATGATGATGTAGATGAAGATCATGATAATGATAATATGTTGTTGTTGTTTTTTTAAACTGTTCTATAATCTTGCCATGTTCAAAGTCAACGTAAAAGGGTCTTCTTATACTACCACTGTTCCTTTTTTTTTAAATTTGAACCAGGCATCTGGATGCTAACTTAATAACATCGATTCCACCTGAAGCGTTTGTGGGACTGACCAATCTCAAGCAGTTATGGCTGGACGACAACCGGCTTGACCACATTCCTGTCCAGGCGTTCAGAGAATTAACAGGACTGCAAGCTTTGTATGTTGCCAGTCTTCATTGCGTTTCTGTCTATGTTTATACATATATATTGAAACTCAAGTCCTATAACAAGGTGGTTTTAGAACGTTAACATTAGTGCTTCTTAAATTACATCTGTAGTGCTCACGCATGCGCGCGCACAGATATACATATATAATACATACATACATACACACACATACATACACACACCGAATACGCACACCGCATACACACACCGCATACACACACCGCATACACACACCGCATACAGACAGACAGACAGACAGACAGACAGACAGACAGACAGACAGACAGACAGACAGACAGACAGACAGACAGACAGACAGACAGACAGACAGACAGACAGACATATATACGTACGTACATACATACGTACATACGTACATGCATACGTACATGCATACGTACATGCATATTTACATGCATGCATGCATACATACATACAAACATACATACATACATACATACATACATAAATACACACACACACACACACATACATACATACATACATACATACATACATACATACATACATACATACATACATACATACATACATACATACATACATACATACATACATACATACATACATACATACATACATACATACATACATACATACATACATACATACATACATACATACATACATACATACATACATACATACATACATACATACATACATACATACATACATACATACATACATACATACATACATACATACATACATACATACATACATACATACATACATACATACATACATACATACATACATACATACATACATACATACATACATACATACATACATACATACATACATGCATGCATGCATGCATGCATGCATGCATGCATGCATGCATGCATGCATGCATGCATACATACATACATACATACATACATACATACATACATACATACATACATACATACATACATACATACATACATACATACATACATACATACATACATACGTACGTGCGTGCGTGCGTGCGTGCGTGCGTGCGTGCGTGCGTGCGTGCATGCATGCATACATACATACATACATACATACATACATACATACATACATACATACATACATACATACATACATACATACATACATACATACATACATACATACATACATACATACATACATACATACATACATACATACATACATACATACATACATACATACATACATACATACATACATACATACATACATACATACATACATACATACATACATACATACATACATACATACATACATACATACATACACGCATACACACACACGCATACACACACACGCATACACACACACGCATACACACACACGCATACACATACATACATACATACATACATACATACATACATACATACATACATACATACATACATACATACATACATACATACATACATACATACATACATACATACATACATACATACATACATACATACATACATACATACATACATACATACAGACAGACAGACAGACAGACAGACAGACAGACAGACAGACAGACAGACAGACAGACAGACAGACAGACAGACAGACAGACAGACAGACAGACAGACAGACAGACAGACAGACAGACAGACGTACATACATGCATACATACCTACCTACCTACCAACCTCCTACCTACCTACCTACACACACACGCTCGCGCACGCACGCACACACACACACACACACACACATACATGCCCGTGGTCGGAACTCTTGAGGGCAACTTGAGTCGCGTAATTACCGACTTGCAACTCGAACTGGGTTTTGTCCAGTGACTGTAGATTCGACTTGTCGCGTGTACTTAATTAAGCGGCTCGGTACGACTTGGCCACTGTGAGGTTTGGTGATTAGCGTCACAGTTTAAAATTCATTTATATAAAACAGAGCAGAAAAAAAATATGTTTCGCTTTATCAAGCTGTAAAATTCGATTGTTTTTCCCACTTTTATATATAGTTTCCCCCTTGTGGCTTCCGGGGCCCCGTTGTGGGGAAACCAAGAATAGACCCACTGTCTCCTCAAGAAGCATGTCGTAAGAGTCGACTAACTGGGGGCTTCTTTTGAAGTCGGAGTGCATCTGCCTGAGAGGCAAGGATCCAGCAATCTGCATACAAAAAAGTCACATCTGTAAAACAGATGCACACGCAAAACTTAAAGCCAAAGTCCAGAAATGGACGAACAACCAGTTTTTTCACCGGAGTTTATAGCCAGTGAAAGCAAACATCAACAAAATATATAAAGTGCAGTTAGTTTTTCGCACTGCAATTTCCTGTTTCGTATTTTCGCCACTGTTGGCTGTTGCTTTGTTACTATAACGGACTTGATATACAAAATGACTCCACTGGGTGGGACTTAGGTGGCAATGACGTGGAACTGGACTTTGACTTAAATGGTGACAACTTAGTCCAACCTCTGACACACGCACACACACACACACACACACACTCACTCACACCTCACAAACGCACACACACACACACACACAAGCAAACGCAGACACACCTACACACACACGCACACACACCACACACACACAAACACAAACACGCACGAACGGGTACGCACGCACACACACGCACACCTCACACACACACACACACACAACTCACACGTGCACTGCGGGACAATTAATTCATAAGATTGGTTATATAATGGCTAAGACAAAAACACTATACAAGAAAGCAAATCAAGTCGTCTCAACTCCCAACATTTATCTATGCTCCACCCACTCTACATACATATATATGTTACTTGCACGTATGTTTTATATATGTGTATATTTACCTGTGAGAGGAGCGAGAGGTCTTAACAAGTGTACTTTTTTTTTTTTTTTTTTGCAAGAACTCTGATAAAAAATCAGATAGAAAACATCCCAGACCACGCCTTCCAGAACAACACCAAGCTCTTTCAGCTGTAAGTATTGAGTCATTTGTGTGTGTGTGTGTGTGTGTGTGTGTGTGTGTGTGTGACAGTTCCGTTTTCTTGTTCCTGGATTTTACCACATAAATTGCATCTGGCACTATTGTCGTATGGCAGTTTTGTCGCGCACCTTTACTTGACTATTTTCACAAATCCCTCAGGTGCTCTGAGGCAGGGGTGTTTTGAATGGTGGCTCTCGTTCGTCTAGAGGCCTAACCCTCGGTTCAAACTTTCCATTCAACCTGTCTCAGGGATGAGGTGACTCGAGCTCTGACTCCACAGGGTTATTATGAACACTTGGGTACCTCTCGGCCAGACGTCCTCATCACTATTTTGCCCCCAGACTGGTAAACAACGTAAACACAGTCAAATATAAAGACAACAGTGGAAATGACAAGACATGAATATCTTTCTAAGAACAGAAAGCCCTGTGAACTAAAACTTCAATTATGTATTCATTACTTCATAACAAGAAAGATAAAAGTCACTCGAAGAACTAGAATGAATGTTCATTTCTTAGGAGAATCAAAGAAAGCGATAAAGTCTTTCTAAAGGGTTATGTCCAATTCCGGGATCATCATCTTCAGAAGGTATGAGACAGATTATGAAGGCACATCTGGAGTCAAGCCGCTGCAAAGTGCTACTGGGACTTATCTGGTAGGATCCTGCAGCTCCTCAGGATGCCCGAAGATGGAAATCTGCAAAGTCTCACTTCTCAGATGAACTCCGTATGCTTGATGATACCTCTGAGAATGAGCAAGGACAATCACTCCCCAGAGACTGGTGGGTTTATGGTTTACGGACAGTACAGCATACTAGGTAATGGCTGCTCAACTCAGATCAGTTGCTTCCCTGGTGTCGGTTGGTGGAAGATCATGCCAATGCCACGGACGCTTGCTGGATCTTCAAAAATTCTGAAAAACACAAAGCAACACACATGAGCGAACCGTACCCAACGCACCTAGTTAATCACTATCCTCACCACCTCCACATGCTCAGATATAATTGAGGCTAGTCCGAACCATGAAGGTTGGCTACCTCTATCTTGGAATCCGTTCAGTTTCCCAGAGTGAGCACTAGAGTCGTACGTACGTTTCCATTAACTCGAATAGTTTTTGAATTCAGTACTGTAGCGAAAGCCATACAGATCTCTATCATTTCCCCTCCCTTTAAATACACCCTTTTCACTAATTGGAAAGATAAGGTATAGGAGATGAAGTCAAAACTAAAATCGAAGGAAATATGCTCCGAAAGCAGTACGACAGTCTAAGTTTGTTGTGGTTACGACAGCTCCTAGCAACAGCGGATATGACGTCATGCCTGACTCGAAGCTCCTTGTCATTCACAACGGTCCAGCGACTCACCAAGTTCAGAGACCGAATAAAAGCAAACAACTAATCATACAAAGTTAGCAATACCATAAATACACTCCAGATATGTGGATTGATTGATTCGAAGAGGTTTAGAAAGCCGGTTCGAAGAATTCTCCGAGAAATTTCATCCGAAAGTGCATTCCAATCCGGATCGCTATCTGCCGTCCTCCATCGTAGACAAACAGATTCGCATTATCAATCTGTTGACCTTACTTACCCACCCACCAAACACTGAGCACAAATATTCAATTGAAAGTTTTTAGGAAAACTCACCATGATAAATGGAAAGAGAATAAAGAATCTTGTCTTTTTAACGGTCAAGTGGCAACAACAAGGGAATACGTCTGTCCACTTGAACGGACTGCAAAGAAGTGACGTGTGAAAATACAGTCCCTATCTACAGCAGTTGGTGTAGGAATACGGCTCACGTAGACGGTGAAGCGGTCAGACAATTTATTTTAAATAGGCGTAGAAAATGTGTCCTAACGTGTAAATCGACACTAAAAGCCTAAAAGAATCAATCTAAAAGTGAATTATATGGATTTCTCCTATCTGGACTCCCCCACAACAAACGAACTATATAACTATGGTCGGCCTATCCGATATCATAGTTACAATGACAATTTTGGGGGTGTTCAGACTGTGGGCCTGTCTATTGAGGTAGGTGTGTGGATCCTGTCATATGACAACTATCAATCCAGGAAATCTTCATCGGAAAGAGGCAGAGCATTTACTGGAATGCCCCGAGTTCAATGACGTCAATTGTAGATTCGTTCATCCAGGGAAACTTAGGTGCTATTGAAAAACAAGTAATATCTACAGCAGTTGTTCTCAACTTTCCTTATGCCGCGACCCTTTAATACAGTTCCACGTGTTGTAGTAACCCCCCAACCATAAAAAAAATTTTCGTAGCTACTTCATTCATCATCATCATGTAGCAGGTCCTTTGCAGAACGTCGCTCTCATCACAGTCTGCCTGAAAGAAACTCGGTCTCTCGCCAGCCCACCCGCCTCATGTACTTTCATACTCAAGGAGTCACTGGTATCCTGTGCCTATCTTTGTGTCAATCAGCCCCTTCTTTCTGGTACCATACCTTCTGCTATAATTTTTTCCAATCCGTCGTGGCGCTTGATATGACCAAAATATTTCAGCTTCCAGCTACTTTATTACTTCAGCGAATATGTGTTTTCTGATGATGGTCTTAAGCGACTCCTGTGAAAGAGTCGTTCGACCCCCAAAGGGTCGCTACCAACAGCTTAAGAACCGCACTCTAGATATTCCGTAAGTGCTCAGATGCCTCTTTCAACATACACATCAACATCCTGCGTTAAAGTTAATAACGCCAGCCCTAAGCCCGTGGACAAGACTTTTTGTAAGTCCGGTGTGCCTTTCTTGCTTTGCTGTGTCGGTCTTAATTCCAAATCCTCGCATTATAAGAAATATCGTGGTCACGCTGCTTAACAAATTCACCGATTGTGAATATAATCACGTGCAATGTAAATATAACCATATATATATATATATATAGATATATTATCACATGCTGTATACGTTTAACAATATGTGGGTATAGTCCTGGAAAGTAAAGGCCGTCGGCGTGATGTATGACCACATCACCTACCAAGTGCTTATAGGTCTATAAAACAAGAGTCTAGCCCTATGTGCCCAGTACGCTAATTTTTTTATTTATAATCACATGTACTGTAAAAAAAAAAAAAAAACCATGTACAATCAATATAATCACATGCATTGTAAATAATATTACGTGTATTGTAAAAAAAAGTGTATGTGTTGTACGTTTAATCTCACATGGACTGTAAATGTAATCATTGGCACTGTAAAGCCAAATCGTTAAGTCCGATTTATGTGTTCCTATTGTACAGGGTCTATCTTGTTTGTCGGCGTCTGTGGCTTACAGGTTGCGAACTCGCTTTGTAATGCCAGGGTGCCGGGTTCAATCCCAGCTGTGGACGATTTGTCTTGCTTTGGTTTCGACTAGGGCTGTACCGAATAGTGATTTTCACTGTTCGGCCGAATACGAATAGTGGGACCAACTATTCGGCCGAATACGAATACAAATACAGTGTATCATCATCATCAGGTGCCTTGCCGACTGGCGTGAGCGATCATGCCACAATCTGCTATCTCCTGCAGCATGTATCAGTTCGTGTGCTGACACACCTCCATGCCATTCACCAAGACTGTCAAGAATCTTCTCTCGTTGTCTTCCTCTATCCCTCCTTCCACAGATCTTTCCAGTGGTATCCAAATGTTCCATTTCCCCTCTTCTCATAACATGGCTGAAAAATGATGACAGTCTCCTTCTGATGTTTGTGATTAGTTGTCTTCGGCCTTCCGCCTCTTTCAAAACCATCGCTCGCTCAGCCGTTCGTTCGATGTAATTTGAACGCACCTTCATATTCTCGTTAGCAATATCTTCAAATTTGATTTGGGCGAAAACACCCTGAAAGAACGAAAAATGCATGATCTCTCTCTCTCTCTCTCTCTCTCTCTCTCTCTCTCTCTCACACACACACACACACACACACACACATACACACACTCACACACACACACGCACACTGCGCTTGGCATTTTATGCAGTTTGTACCATGCAACCGAGTAGCAATTTCCCCTGCTACGACAGACTTAGGCAATAGCAACTATTGTGTTAATTAGAGAGTTATTTCAGTCCATCACAGTGTATGCAGAAACGGGAGTAAGGTAACCACTATTCGTATTCGGCTAGACCTCAATTATTCGGCCGAATACCGAATAGTTATTAGGTCCACTATTCGGCCCCAATAGTGAAAATCATAACTTATTTCTTAAGATAGCAAAAACAAAGATAATGCATACAAACAAAACTGCCATGGAGAAGGAAATATATGTTAATGAGGAAAGATTGGAAGTGGTGGAAAATTTCGAATATCTTGGGTCACTGGTTACCAACAATGGTGACACAATGAAAGAAATTAAACGGCGACTATCAATTGCTCTTCAAAGACTAAAACAACTGAATAAATTATGGAATTGTACAGATAGAATTACAAAGGTCAGATTTTTAAGAGCATGCATCTTTCCCATTGCAACATACGCCTGTGAGACCTGGACACTTACTAAACAAGCGGAACAGCGCATAAATGCTTTTGAATATAAATGTTACAGACAGGTTCTAAGAATATCTTGGGTAAAGAAAAGAACAAATGCATCCATACTTCAAGAGCTGAATATTGAAGAGGGTTGGCTAGTAAAGACAATAAAACAAAGAAAATTAAAATATTTTGGTCACTTGAAACGTCATGGAAGTCTAGAGAGAACAATAATGGAGGGGTATATGCCTGGGAAGAGAGGAAGAGGAAGGCCAAGGAGAAGATGGGTGCAGGATGTTGCAGATGATCTCCAGATGGGTGTATCAGACGCAGGACATTTTGCTCAGGATAGGAAGGTTTTCCGGAGGGTTGTTATGGCAGCGAGGTTCCGCGAGGGACATGCTACTGAATGAATGATTCAGCCCCAAAGCGAATACGAAGCGAATATTCGGTACAGCCCTAATTTCGACAGGTTTACCCAGAGCTGACTGTTCAGTGAACAGTGGCACACTACTAAACGTACAATGTGTCTAGAAAAACTACAACAGCCAAAACATGCTAGAGTTGGTTCTGCAACGTCCTGTAATGGATACGTAAATAACTGTAAATTACCTATTTGTAAAATATTTCAGACGACTAGCCAATAATGAAATCAAAGATATCGCTGAGCATGCACTGTATGGACTCACACAACTTAAGTACCTGTAAGCTATCTGTTTGTTGTATTTGTCTTTTGTATGTGTCTTTTGTATGTGTCTTTTGTATATGTCTTTTGTATATGTCTTTTGTATGCGTCTTTTGAATATGTCTTTTGGGTATGTATTTTGTATATGTCTTTTCTATACGTCTTTTGTAAATGTATTTTGTATATGTCTAATATATATGTGTTTTGTACATGTCTTTTGGGTATGTATTTTGTATGTCTTTTGGATATGTATTTTGTGTATGTCTTTTCTATACGTCTTTTGTATATGTCTTTTGTATGTCTTTTGTATATGTGTTTTGTAAATGTCTTTTGTGTATGTATTTTGTATATGTGTTTTGTATATGTCTTTTGTATATGTCATTTGTATGTGTTTTTTGTATATGTGATTTGTATATGTCTTTTGTATACGTCTTTTGTGTATGTATTATGTATATGTGTTTTTATCTTTTTATGTTGTATGTGTATTTTACCTATCCCCGAGTAGGTTCCAGGGCCTCCTTGTGGGGGGAACAAGAAAAGATCCACGGCCTCCACAACAAGCGTGTCGTAGGAGCCGACTAATTAGGGGCATCCATCGAAGTCGGAGTACATCTGATTCAGAGGCACACACACAAAAACCAAGAGCCTGCGTGCAAAAAAGACAGATCTGTGAAACGGAAGTGCGCGCGACACTTAGGTTCTGGAACCAGAATGAAATCCTGAGATGGACGAACACCCAGAACTTTCCTACTGAGTTTACAGTCGGTGAAAGAGATGAAGAAGAAGATTATTGATTATGCCACTGTGTTTGCTATTTTCATCTGGAGTATGCAGCTGTTGGAAGCATCGGTGTTTGAATTATATATATATATATATATGTGTGTGCGTGTGTGTGTGTGTGTGTGCGTGCGTGTGTGTGTGTGTGTAAAGGACCCTTTTCCACGCCTTTAGGCCTATAGGACTTATAGGTCTAGACCTATAGTTTACAGCCCAATCGGCACAAGATGTTTTTGGCAGACCTGGCGTCCTAACGTACGATACATCGGCCGACAGTCACTGTTGTTTAGCCACTAGCCCCAGCGTCTTGCTACGTATATGATGCCAGCAGAGTATTTGGTACTTGATTAGTATAGTGGTCCCCTGTGTGGGTTCCGGGGCCCTATTGTGGAGAAAACAAGAATAGACCCACTGCCTCCCCAAAAGCATGTCGTAAGAGTCGACTAAATGGGGAGCTTCCTTTGAAGTCGGAGTGCATCTGCCTGAGAGGCAAGGAACCAGCAGTCTACATTCAATTGAATCAGATCTGTAAAACTGATGCACACGCAACACTCAGGTTCTGAAGCAGGACTGCAGTCCAGAAGTGGACGAACAACCAGAACTTTACGCCATAGTGTACAGCTGATGAACGCGAAGAAGAAGAAGTATAGTGGTCAGTTTACTGCCCCGATTACTCCACAGGGCACTACTTCTGGGTAAAATAATAGACCTACTGCGCCCATCTCATTTTTTTTAAACAAGCCTGTAGTAGGAGGCTACTCATTTTAACTTTTTTCGAAGGTGGAGTGCATCTACCTGAGAATTTTGCAGGCTTTCAGCGGGAAAAGTTTTGAACATGTATACGGAGAGAAAGAGAGAGAGTAGGAAAGGAATCGAGTGGACAAGAGATATGGGAAGAGAAGGAGGGAAGTGAAGTGAGTGTGAGAGAGAGAGGGGGAATGGAGTGAGTGAGAGAGAGTGAGAGAAGGAGGAAGGGAAGAGCGTGATTGAAAGAAGGAGGAAGGTAAGAGAGAGAGAGAGAGAAGAGGAAGGGAAGAGAGTGAGTGAGAGAGAGATTGGGGAAGGAAAGGGAGTGAGTGATAAAGAGGAAGGAAGGGTAGAGTGTGAGTGAGCGAGAGAGAGAGAGAAAGAGAAAGCGATAGAGAGAGATTTGACTTAACTTCGTTCTGCTCTTCCTGTGTCATATTGTAAAATGTATTTCCATAACAGCCAACTTCAGAATAATCGAATTCAAACAATGCCGTCTGCCTTTAAACACCTGGTGAATTTAGGAGAACTGTGAGTTTTATATTGTTTCCCGTGTGTAGAGATTCTTTCCTGTTTGATGTACTTTTATTTTTTCTTTAACCACACAATTTGTCTCCGAGTTTAAGAGTGCGAATACCGTTGACAGCCAGTGATAATAATTTATTTTATCGAAAAAATTATCAGGAACATTTTCTAGTATTTTCCAAGTTGCTATAGCAACCTGAATGAACCTTACGTGGAAGAATGAGTTGATGGAGTAAAATTCTAGACTGGATTCCATTCATTATAACGAAAAGATGACACAGCCCACAACTGAATGGAGGAATTATTACGATCCATATGTGTCTTGTAAACGGCACTAACGGATAATGGCTGTAATAAGAAGCCTTGAAAACTGTGAAGAAAATGTCGCGGGAATGAAAAATCAAGAGAAAAATATAGTTTTCTTAGAGAATAGAGCCAACGTTACACAATAGCAAACATAATTTAGTTCTAGCAGGTCTAAGAACTTGCGTAATGAACAATGCCTTGAATCCAATACAGTTGTATTAAATGAACCTAAAAAGTAAAGTTAAAGTAGGGAGATGTGAACCAGTGTCATTGCACACGATTATAAACTTTAAGTGCTCTGCCACCAAGTTTAGAATGAATCTAAACCTTTCAATGTGCATGCAGAAGACCAAGCTGACCAGCTGGCAGAGGAAAGTAAACCACTTTCACAGTTCAATATAGGGATTAAACATGTTCAAATCAAGAGGTTTATGAAAGGAGCTAAGACAACCGGGTGCTTTCTTAATATCCTGCTCCAAACAGGGAAAATTTACAGGTCACGGGACAGTCTAATATTTCAGGTGTTGGTAGATAGGCTGTCTGCAGTCATGGGACCTAGGCTGCAGTCTCTTGTGGGACATACGTGGGTTGGGTTTAGGGCCAGTTCAAGATGTTTTGGGGTCGTTAAAAGCATCAGAAAGCGGGGAAACCCAGTCTTACCACCTTCTAAAATGTTAGACTGTCCCGTGACGTCATCTGGGGGTTAGAATATTACGAAAGAACCGACAACCGTATACGAATTTGGGCATCCCAGCCATGAGAAACATTACTACCAATCATCATACTCGCTGCCAAAAAAGTCCGTGCTCTTTTCTTACTTGGTGCATTTGACTCGTTCGTTCGTCGTTACTATGCTAAAAAAACCCGTCATGTTTAACCAGTATCCCTGAAGTGGGAGCTTTAGGTTATTATTGTGACTAAGATCTGTGCACCATAAAAAATGACTTAGCATTGCACACAGCCAAGAGACCTGAAAGGACAGCTGTCTGAATCGTGGGTAAAAACGCTGGGTTCTTCGTGCGGTAGATCTTGAATTGGGTTCGAATCCTCGGTAGAGTAGAGGTGTTTTTTTTTTTTTTTCAAATTTCGAGGGTCAAAATAAAATCCTAACCTGCACAGTCCGTGGCGACATCACTAGCCATGCGATCATAAATCCTCAGACTCAAAGACCCTCTCCCTCCTCTGCCTACAAAACACAAGAGTTTTAAAATAGGCAGTAATGGCAGTTGTATCGCAGTCTCCATGATACGAAAGAGGAATTTAAAGGAAATGGAATGTAGTGATGCTGGACTACACGTGGTTGTGGTGTACAAGCACAAGGACCGGAGTACCGGGGTTCAAAATAAGGAAATTTTTTCGCCGACTTCAGGTGTATTGGGCGTGCAGGTTTAGACCCATATTTTACAGACCAATCGTCACTCGGTGGGTGATGTTATCAACATCACGCTAGACGCCTTTACTTCCAGTGAGTTAACCAGGTACCCACTCGTGACTGGTTTGACCTGTGAGCCTAGGTAAAAATAAATTTTAAAGTTGGACTCTATTCGGATTTGAATCTACAACCTTTCGATCAAACAGACGAACGTCTGCCTGCTGTACCATGGCGGTTCCCAATGTCTCATACTGGTCAAGACCTATCCACATCTCGCTCAGACCAGGGACAGGTTCCCAACCAGGAGCCGGGTCAACAGAGGCAAGAACCCAACAGTCTGTGCAAAAGTAAGCCAGATCTATTAAACGTATGTGCACGCAAAACTCAAGTCCTGAAACAAAACCAAAGTCCAGAATCAGGACCATTTGCTGTGAATGTGAATAAGAAGAGGAAGCAGGAAGGGATGGGTGGGGCAGTGTGACCAGATCGATGAGCCTGGATTATGATTTCTTTTCCAGTGCAAAAAGTGAATTAAAAACGGGCCAGTAATTAGTGGGATTGAGCTGCCTGTAAAAAAATACAGCTGCAAAACTGAAGCAGAACTAAATTCAAGTAAAGAAATACACCCAACAACCTCTAAAAATTTTACAAATTTAAATTACATTTGATCAATCCAAAGCCACAGGCACAAAGTGAGGAGTCACGTAGAGGCTGAAAAAAAGGGAAAAGTGACATGCGGATCAGGAAGATGTTATAGAAATGCAGATTAGAAAAGATGAAAAACTCATTTTACAACAACCATCATCATCAACACTATGTGCCATACAATGGTATGAATACAAAAGAGCCAATATTTCTGGCCCAGAAAATTTCATTGGTTTTGTGTGTCCCTGATAGTTGCGACTGGACGAACGTGTTCCAGCTATGAGGCAGAACTATCAGTTTTACTGATTGCGGCACAAAACATGAACAAGCTGCAAACACATCCAGACAGGGTGATTTTTCTCACAGAATCACTTTTGACCATAGAGGCCAGAACAACGGACGACACACTGAGGCAGGGGTTCTCAAACTGAGTGCCGAGAGAGTAAGCTAGGGGTGCCGCGGCAATAATCAAGAATTTTTTTTTTTTTAATCTGCTTGAGATCGGCGAAGACAGCAGTTTAAAACAGAAATACCATGAAGGAAGCCAAGAAGGTTTCTGTTTGCAGGTGCATTCAGAAAACAATGCTTTTGGCAAGGCTGCAGTGCATTCTTGATGTATGTTTACATTTTTTTAAACATATACAGGAGCAGTCTTCAAGTGATTTTAGAGTACAGTTAACTAAACTTCTCAGAAACATACAGGAGATAATGACAAACTCATCCAAACAGTTTCATTCATCGCATTAACCAACTGAACATTAAATTTGCACTGTTATTTCTTCCTTTCCTAAGTATTCAAACCGGGCAGGTGTGCCATGAAAAATTGTCTGCCCGACAAGAGTGCTGCGGTGAAAAAAAGGTTTGAGAAACCTTGCACTACGGTATCTAAAAAGGGATCTTGCTATTCTGTAAGCAAAAACGCATCAGCAGTAGATTCCGTCACGCTACGGAATTAAAGGTCAACAATGAAAGAAAATCAGAAACAGATTGGAATACAAACACAGGTATAACTATAAAAACGTAGAGAGATAGGACGGTCAGAAGATTTTTGAGCAACGCGTCCTTATCAGTGCTAAAATTACGAGAACTGGGTGGGAGTAAAGCTCGACACAGTCAAGCATGAGAGGCACACTTGGCGTTCACAGAGTCTTGTAAACCAGCATATGAATAGCACTGTTAACTGTTGAGCGCTGATGGGTATGTTGAAGGGGGAATCTAAGCAGCTTTGCGTGTTTCCGGAGTGCTGTGACAATAAAAAAAAAAAATATGTCATCAAACAGCCGAAAAGACTAAAACAAGTCCTAAGCCTTCGCTTATGCAGTAAACATTACTGACTTAGCAAAGTCACCAACTCTGGCTTTATCAGTAGACATTACCGACTCAGCTAAGTCACCAACTCTCGCATTAGCCACAAAAACATATTACAAGAAAATATTGCCGCGGAAAATAAAAGTTCTGCAGACAGCGACTGGCGCGTTTGTCTTATGTACAGTGGTACCTCGTGGCACAAATACCTCAAGTCAGTAACAAATCGGCCCACGAACAAATCGACCCACGAAGATAATCGGCCCACCAACACAATTTCCGAACAAATTTTGACTCTACCCGCGAACAATGCCGCAGTGCGTTAGCCAACAAACATGACATTTACGCTGTATTTTCGGTCCGCGTACACAATCGGTTGTACCCAGGTTGTGCTCCAAGTACCTGTTATTATTAACTCTTCTATTCCATCAGTTTTACTGATTGCGGCACAAAACATGAACAAGCTGCAAACACATCCAGACAGGGTGATTTTTCTCACAGAATCACTTTTGACCATAGAGGCCAGAACAACGGTCGACACACTGAGACAGGGGTTCTCAAACTGAGTGGAGAGAGAGGAAGCTAGGGGTGCCGCGGCAATAATCAAGAATTTTTTTTTTTTTTTAAATCTGCTTGAGATCGGCGAAGACAGCAGTTCAAAACAGAAATATCATGAAGGAAGCCAAGAAGGTTTCTGTTTGCAGGTGCATTCAGAAAACAATGCTTTTGGCAAGGCTGCAGTGCATTCATGATGTATGTTTACATTTTTTTTAAACATATACAGGAGCAGTCTTCAAGTGATTTTAGAGTAAAGTTAACTAAACTTCTCAGAAACATACAGGAGATAATGACAAACATAATCGGCCCACGAACACAATTTCCGAACAAATTTTGATTCTACCCGCGAACAATGCCGCAGTGCGTTAGCCAACAAACATGACATTTACGTTGTATTTTCAGTCCGCGTACACAATCGGTTGTACCCAGGTTGTGCTCCAAGTACCTGTTATTATTAACTCTTCTATTCCAAGGAGTTGAGATTAAAGCCATCATATACCTAGATTTGAAAAAGTTTAACAGAGAAATTCTGGGGCAGAAGTAGTCAACTAATAATTCCGCTGTACGGATTGAATATAACACATGTATGTGACATAAGGCATCAAGAGTATTATGTTAACTTTAAAAAGACAAAGAAATGCATTGTGAATTGATTGGTATTGAAAGAGATAAATGGGTGTCTGGCACGTTCTGTTATGGTTTACAGCAAGGCTGCGACATCTGAGCTTTTTAGCGCAGCGCATCCGATTTCCGCAGAGGCATTATCAGTGTGTCTTTGATGATATGTTTGTTGGGAACGCAGTAAGTGCCCACCCCCCCCCCCACCCCCACGCCACCCCCGTCCCGCCCCCATCCCCCTTTTCCTCTTTCCCGCAAAATATGACCCAGGAATCCACAAGAGGATGATAGCATTTACTTCTTTAATTAAGGCACAGAAAATATAATACCTTAACTACGTCTCTGCCCTTAATACCATCCTGTTTTCTTTTTTAGTCCAGCAAATATGAGCACCGAATGATAAGATGCTATCCCTAGGATTTAGTCTTGAAACCTTAATGACCTTAGTAACTATCCAGTGTTATACATTTACATGGGTACGGTTAGCAGAAGCTACATACACCACGTAACAGTTTACCAAAAATTTCAACATCCCTGTCTACAGTCTCAAGTAATCCCATCCTTGAGATTGCATCCATCTCAGAAAGGACAGACCGCCATGTTAAATTTCCATTAAATTTCTGTTGAAAGGTCAAATGAGAGAGCAATTTCACGAAAACGACCGTAGTAATTCAGCAAACACACTTTAGTAATGTAAGACTTCGGCTTGATGCCTTCAATCATCGCGTCTGATCGACAAATAGGATGTTATTTGCTTAGCTAAGTCATCAAACTCTGATTTCCTTAACTCGATCTTTATAATTGCTTATCTGTTTCCAATTGTAGCAATCTTGAGGGCAACCGACTGACCGAGATCCCACAAGACAGCTTTCAGCAGAAAGAAAAACTGACTATGTTAATCTTGAGCAACAATCCAATCACCTCGGTTTCTGATGAAGCTTTTGTTAACCTGCCTTCTCTCCAGGAACTGTAAGTAGAGCTCTTGTCTAGGTCGATGATGCTGCTGGTTTAGTTAATGGTTACTACTAGCTGTGCATCATCATCATCATCATCATAATCATCATCGTGTAGCAGGTCCTTCACAAAACGTCCTTCCCATCCCAGAAACATGGTCCCTCGTTAGTTCTCAGGCCTCATAAAAAAGGTTGTTGCGTATCCTCTAGAGGACGTTGCAGAACCAACCCTAACAGCCCCTGGCTGTTGTGTGGTTTCTCTAGGCAAATTTACGTCCAGTAGTTTGCCATTGCTTTCTGGACGGTCGGCTTTCTTGATACCACTGTCGAAACCAACGCAAGGCGCATTGCCCGCAGCTGGGATCGAACCTGGCATCCCGGCATTACGAAGCGAAGTGTTCGCATCGACTTAGCCACAGAGCCGACCTCAGGCCTCATACACTCTCCTATTCAAGGTGTCTTCTGTGTCCTGTGCCTATCGTCGTATCGGACGGCCCTGCCCCGTTATACCTGACACACTCCCTCCTCTTCTATCCCATCCAACCCATTGTTGCACTTGATATGGCAAAGATGTTTTAGTTTTCCGAGACAGGACGCCATTAACGAGACAATTTGCCATGATGCTAAGATCTTTTAGTACTTGTATCACGAGAATAATGCTCTGATGTATACATACTGAGTGATGATGACACTTAACACTTCAAAATATTTTGTCTCCAAGAATTTTGCAACGGGAGTCTAGCTCAGCCTTCCGTCTTCTCTATAAGTAAAGTAAAGAAAAACCCATAGAGTTGAGTTTAGATTAGTCAAGAATTGAAGTCATAGCACTCAGGGCAACCCCATGCATGCTCCGTCCTCATCTTCAGCAGCCAGCGCAGAATTCCAATGCTGATGGCACCGGTCACAATGTGTTTCAAAGTCCGTCTTGCCTTTCCTCTGTGTGTAGTCAGCCGGCCAGATCCTCTGATTACACCCAGGTGCCTCTTTGTCTTCAGGTGATAATAATCTTCTTTCTCTACTGATTCCGTTGCTTGTTCACAAAAGGCCTTGACAGCATCTGCCTTGTCATGTATCAATTCACCACCCAGTGGTGCAGATCCAGCCAGTCTGTCTGCCTGTTCATTACCCACCACCAGGAAAGACCTTTTTCGCGCCTCTGGCCCATCAAGGAAGTAATGCTGGGCCTAAATTGTTTTAAAAACCAATCGGCACTTGACGAGTCGTCAGCATCACTCCGGCTGCCTTTACTTCCCCTGACATTACCTCCTCCTCCTTAGTACCGACTTTAAGAATGGAATCTGTCGCGTCTAGCGGTGTCCGCAGCTTGGGCGTTGCGAGTCCGACTCGTAATTCCAACGTACAGCGATCGAAACGGACTGCTTGCTGTGTGGATATTTATTGTGGTATAGGAGTATAGGGCGTCGTAGGTCGACTCAGCCTAAAGTGTGTACCAAGATGTATGTCCTGGGAAAGTAAAGACGACCTCCATAATGCTGAACACATTACCTACCTAGTGCCGATTGGTCTGTAAAAATATGAGTACTTTTCCCATATGCCCAATGCGCCTACAGGCGTGAAAAGGGATCTTTACTTACTTTACTTCTGTCGTGTGTGCTGTAAATAAACTTGGATACTGTTGTTTTTCTGTGCCAATCACGGTCAAATAATTGAGTATCGCCTCTGTTGTTCCCTATCCGCCTCTTTTCCTCTCAAAAGACTCCGAGTATCCCTTTTTTTTAATTGCACCCTTGCTAATACATAGCTCCCAGGTTCACCCAGCCTTGAGTGGAGACCAGGTACAGTCCTGGAAAGTAAAGGCGGCCGGCGTAATGTCAACTACTTCACCCACCAAGTGTCAATAAGATATAGGTCTAACCCTTTACGCCCAATACGCCTGATTGCCTGGAAAAGGGTCCTTTGCTTGCCTTTAATACATACCCAAACAGTGTGGATTCTTTCCTATGCTGGTAACCAGTTCTTTTTGTTACTTTTCTTCTCTCTCTAGACATCCTCATTGCCGTTTGTTATTGAACTTCATGTTTTCTCTGTAATTCTTTTATGAAATCATATCCCTGCATTTGTCACAAAAAGCATCCACACTAATCCTCTCATAGCCCAATAAATAATTTATAGACATGTTCACAAGACCAAGCGTCGCATACATGTTCGCATGCTAGCTAGTAATGACATTTACTTCATGTATATACAATGACAAGCAGACAGGTAAATATCCAGTTAGCTATTTAATTGTTATTTATAGTCCTGCACGTTACAGCTTCTTACATGCTTAATCTTTTCCCATGTCAAAAATAAAAATAATCCGGACATCTTTCATTATTTTCAGACGTGTATTCATTTTTTTTAAAAATCTTATTTATTTATCAAAATATAATAAATGTTTGTGCATAAATCGTCTCCCCCCCCCCCTTCTCCTCCTCCTACTACTATTCCTCCCCTCCTCCTTCTATTACTCCTCCTCATCATCATCATTATCATCATGTAGCAGCTTCTATAAGGTCTTAGTTATAAACACATCCAATTAAGATAATCCTAATTGTGCGATGGTTCTCTAGTAATTTCTTATGTTCCGTGTATATCTCCTCCTCCTCCTCCTCCTCCTATTACTCCCCCTCCTCCTATTACTCCTCCTCCTATTACACCTCCTCCTCCTTATCATCATCATGATGTAGGAGCTTCTAAAAGGTCTTAGTTATAACACATCCAATTAAGATAATCTTAATTATGCGATGGTTCTCTAGTAATTTCTTATGTTCCGTGTATATCTCGTCCTCCTCCTCTTATTACTCCTCCTCATCATCATGATTATCATCATGTTAGGTTAGTTGCGTATCCTTTACAGGACGTTGCAGAACCAACCCTAACAGCCTCTGGCGGTTGTGTGGTTTTTCTAGGGAAATTTACGTCTAATAGTTTGCCATTGCACTGGACGGTCGGCTCCCTGATACCACTGTCGGAACCAACGCAAGGCGCATGGCCCGCAGCTGAGATCGAACCCGGCATCCCGGCTTTACGAAGCGTTCGCATCGACATAGCCCCAGAGCCGACTGTCATCATGTAGTCGCTTCTATAAGGTCTTAGTTATAAATACATCCACTTTTTCAATTACACAACCATCTCCTTGTGAGATGCAATTTTTCGTTATTTTGAAGCCCCACCTTGGCTCTTGCCAGGGGCTGCAATTTAGCCCGGCCATAAATGTGGTCTAATGGCTGAACGCGGTTTCTGGGACCTCTAAACGGGTGATCCTCATCCACATGGTGTCACTTGTGTCATCGGGTGTTTATCGCTTGTGTGATGTCCTAGTGGGGTAAAAACTCTACTACTACTACTACTACTACTACTACTACTACTACTACTACTACTACTACTACTACTACTACTACTACTACTACTACTACTACTACTACTACTACTACTACTACTACTACTAGTAGTACTAGTACTACTACTTCCACTTAAGATAATCTTAATTATGAGATGGTTCTCTAGTTATTTCGTATGTTCCGTGTATAACTCCTCCTCCTCCTCTTACTCCTCCTCCTCCTCCTCAACATCCCCATGTAGCCGCTTCTAAAAGTTCTTAGTTGTAAACATATCCACTCAAAATAATCTTAACTATGCGATGGTTCTCTAGCAATTTCTTATGTCCCGTGTATATCTCCTCCACCATGTTGGTGTAACAACGTAATCCTTCAAAGAATCGTCTCCTCGCTGATCTGTATTCATCATGTACCATACCGATATTACTTATGTTGTTATACTTCGGCGTTTTTCACCATCGCAAGTCTTTAATGTGGTCTGCATTCGTGTCTTTCTAATTGTTCTCGCCTTCCCTTTCCGTGTTCTCATCGTATTTGCCGTTGTCACTAAGGTTTCAAATGTTTCTACTCACATCAGAATCGTGACTGTACTTCTCTTTGTTGTTTAGTATTTTATCTGTTTCTGGAGGATTGTCTCATTGGTGTGGTGGTAGTAGTGGTGGTAGTGATGGTAATGGAGGTGTTTATTTTAAAAAATATCATGTTCGACCTTTTAGGGTTATAATTAAGACACACGGAGTTTACTTTCCCGTTTCGACGTTGGATATTTATGATGGTCAATAAAGTAAAAATTAAAGGACCTTTTTCCACACCTTTAGTCGTACTGAGCCTATAAGGCTAAACCTGTATTTTATAGACCAATCGGCACTTGGTAGGTGATATGGTCAGCATCATACCGGCCGCCTTTACTTCCCAGGACTGTACCAGGTATCCACTCAAAGCTGGGTCGACTCGGAAGCCAAGGTCATTTTGCTTGTTAATTTCTGGGTATTTCATATTTAATAGATTATGTACCATTTAAACAGACTGTGGGTTGCCCGGCTCTCTAGCGAAGTTGGTTAAACCTGACTTTCGCGGCGTCCGGGTGACGAACTCCTTGTGGTCCGGGTTCACTCCCGGGGGTAGGCAGAAAAGCCACATTTCTCCCAGATTAACGGTACCTATAATGGAATCAAGGCCGAAGGGTTGCGATATCCATAGTACCGAGCCAAAGGGTTTACAACTCATGGTTTCTGGTAACGTAAAAAAAAAAAAAAAAAAAAAAACAGACTGTGGGAGTATAGATTATGTTTAATATGGAGTGTTCTTTTTAAGTGTACTTTATTTTTTTGAAGAATAACAAATTTGTGATTATCACAGTGTGTAATCTTTCTTTACCCTACCAGGCATGTCGTAAGAGGCGACTAAGGGTAGGGTTGGGCTTGAGGTTGGCTACCTCATCCTGTAAAAACAAAAGCCACAAAAAACAACCAACCATGGATAAGTCAAAAAGAGAAGCAAGTAAAACCCAGTCAACCAAGATGAGGGGAGGCTCTTCAAATAGAAGTATGACACGGTGTGGAGAAAGCCGTAAGGAAGATAGAAAGATAGGGAGGACATGGGGAGAGCTCCATGCAATGACGAAGGATAGAACAACTTGGCGTGAGTTGGTTGTGGGCCTATGCTCCATTGGGGGATAGAAAGGCAGAAGAATAAGAATCTTTCTTTGAGAATATTTAAAGTGATCTGGGATCACAATATGCTCTCTTATGTTTGTTCGCAACTGTTTTTGTGATAGACTGTATAATCTTTCCTATCATTCTCTGTCTATGCTTAACATACATTAATGCTGAAATAAGTTTATTATGGCTGAATAAATATTCATTAACGGGTGTCCTTTCCTGTTGATATTTCTAGCATTATTAAATAGTAACCAGTACATGTCGGATTTGTGGCTAAGTCGATGCGAACGCTTCGCAATGCCGGGATGCATGGTTCGGTTCCAGTTGCAGCCCATGCGCCTTGCGTTGGTTTCGACAGTGGTATCAAGAAAGCCGACCGAAAGCAATGGCAAACTACTGGACGTAAATTTGCCAGGAAAAACCACACAAAAAAAAAAATTATTGCTTCAATCTGCAAATATTTAAAGTGTGCAGGAGTTTATTTAAAAATACTAATCAGTACATAAAATTTTTACCATTCTGAGATTTGGAAAAGGTTTTTTTTTTCAGAAATATTAGTTGCACTGTTCAATAAGACACTGCGACTTGCAGTCTCGGTAATTTTTATTAATGGCAAGGAGGTTTTAGTTTTCAATCGTATTTTTTCCCCGCTCCTAGATTTTATTCATTAAATATTTTACATAAACTATATTTTTTTCGGTATTAGATTATTTTCATTAGGTCAGTTTATTGTCCACTTTGTTATTTACTTTTTCATGACATTTACTTGTTCATTTTATATTATAAGTGTCTTCCATACATAGTTTGGTGATGGTAATTAACTTCTTTAGTATTCCAAAGTCCTTTATACCATTCCATAACCGGTTTCTTTGTACACTATCTTACGCCTTTTTAAAATCTACAAAAACATTAGATACTTCTCTCTCTTATTTCTTCTTGCTCTTCTTCTGCTTCTTCTTCTTCTTCAGATTTAATCTTCTTATTCTTCTTCAAATTCTTCTTCTTATTTTTCTTCTTTTTCTTCTTTTCTTTTAAAAATTCAATGAAAAATTCTTCTTTTTCTACATTCGGAGATAATTCTTCTATTCTTCTCTTCTTCTTCACTTCTTCTTCAGAATTCTCCTTCTTCTTCTTTCTTCTCGTTCTTCTTCTTCATGTTCTACTTTTCTATCTTGCAATCTTCTTCTTTCTTGTTCTTCTTCTTCTTCTTCTTTTATGTAACTCTTCTTCTGTCGGACTTTTAGACTAGTCCAAAATCTTTTCTAGGGATTCTTCTTCTTAAACTTCTTCATCTTCTTTATTTCTTCTTCTTGCCCTTCTTGACCACTTCTTCTTGTTTCCAAGAAATTCTTTTTAACCTTAGTTTGTCGCTTCTTCTTCTTACTCTTCTCTTCTTCTTCTGCTGAAGATCATGTTCGATGTTTGCAACCACTATCACCTTTATATGTTACTCTTAGCCTCTTTTTCTTCTCCCTCTTATTATTCTTCTTCTTCTTCTTTTCTTCTTCTTCTTCTTCTTCTTCTTCCTCCTTCTTCTTCTTCTTCTCTTCTTCTTTCTCTTCTTCTTCTTCTTTCTTCTTCTTCTTCTTCTTCTTCTTCTTCTTCTTCTTCTTCTTCTTCTTCTTCTTCTTCTTCTTCTTCTTCTTCTTCTTCTTCTTCTTCTTCTTCTTCTACTTATTATTATTACTATTATTATAATGTTTATTATTATTATTATTATTATTATTATTATTATTATTATTATTATTATTATTATTATTCTGCTGCTTCTGTCGGCCTTTGAAGAGCAGTTGGTGCGTTGTGTTAGGGCTTTAACTATGCTATAATGTCTAATTTCAGCATATATTTTAAAAAGTTGCCTTTTAAGTCATGCTTATTAGGGTTTTGTTTTCTAGTGTCTTTAGGGTCCCTTCTTTCCCCGTGGAATGTAATTATTTGTCTTTAGTGCAGCGAGATTCTATATTCACTATATAGTTTTTCTTGAAAATTTTACAGTCAAAGTAATCATCTTTCTTTCACCTCATGATTCTCTATTAAAAAGCTAAGAAACTGCATTTACTCCCCAGTAAACTTTCTGAAGTACACGACATGACCAAGTTCCCGGATTTGACAGGGACTATGAACCTGACAGTTCTCCAACTGGACAGAGCCAACATCAGGTCCATTCCTAAAGAAATTTGTACAAATTTGAAAAGACTGAAAACATTGTGAGTATGTGGTTTCAGTGACAGTTACATTGGTTTAAAAATTATTAAAATGTATCTCATATTTGGAAAGCATGAGAAATCTTCTTCTTTGTTTACCTGGCTGTGAGCTCCGGGGGAAAGTCCTGGCTGTTCGTCCCTTTGGACTTTGCCTTTCTTCACCTCCGACGTGAAGCATGCCTGTCCTCACCTTCCTCGGTATGCTTTCTGAGTCAGTTACAATCACGATGTGCGTGTGTGTGTGAGTGTAAGTGTGTGTGTGTGTAGGAGAGTGTGTGAGTGTGTATAAGTGTGTGAGTGAGTGTGTGTGTGAGAGTGTATGTGAGTGTGTGTGTGCGTGCGTGCTTGTTTAGTGTTCTCTAACCAGCGGAAAGCTGCAGTGACCGCCTCCACCTCCATTGCCTTTTGCATAAGCATCCGTTTTACTGGCTTATTGGTGGGCTTATAACGTTGTTCTGTGCCACTCGGGCAGATGTACTCCGACTTCGAAGGAAGCTCCCAGTTAGTGGACTACTACGATATGCTTGTTGTTGAGGCCGTGCGTTTATTCTTGTAAACAGTGCAAAACATGCAATTCTATATTGTCTGCGCTGGATTCGAACCATTAAAATTACAATATACATCCGGAAAAGAAGCATTTGGTTATATTACTTAGCATAATAAACAAATGCTCTCTGTCATCATCATCATCATCGCCATCATTGTGGTCCCATAACACCTCGTGTCTTGTGACACTTAGTAGCATGTCCTTTGCAGAACCTTGCCCCCATAACAACCCTATGGAAAACCTCCCGATCACAAGCGAGTGTCCAGACGTGTGTATTATATTGTGCTTGTGTTTAGTGTTCTCTAACCACGGGAAATTTGCAGTCCATGGCGATGGCGAGTATGACTTGCACTCGCTGGCACTGGCTTATTGTCTTTACAGTCATGTTCCGTTACTTTTAATTCATAGTACTCCGACAATAATCTACCTCAGTATCTGTATCATTCATGCTCCGCACATCATTATATTGTAGCAGAGGCTGTGTACTAAACTATACTAGGCTAGAGCGTGGAGGGAGGAGGATCACTGTTTTTGCAGACAAGCCGGCAGGCCACTTTACCGTTGCGTTTCCTTTGTTCCTCATGCAGCATGAAATATACTATGTTGAATTAACCAATATTATATTAACGTGACGAATAATATGTGTATTAGATTAAATATATTAATAAATTATCTGATACGTTTACATTTAATCTAATATATATCAATAATTTATCTGATACGTTAACAACATATAATATGTTAACATAACAGATAATTTGTTAACATAACAGATAATTTGTTGATATACATAATAATATCGTTAACATAACAGATATGTTAACATGACACATAATATCTTAACATAACATACAAAACCATTCACACTAACTGCGTGTGTTGTGTTTCTGCAGTGACGTACACTCCAACAAAATCGGAATCATACCGGATATGTCACAGTGCAAATCCCTGACTATTCTGTAAGTAACTCATTCGTATTTTTACTGTTTCATCTAACACATTCGAATGTAAGCACGTCATAAAGGGCAATGATCACTTCATCATCGGTCAACAAATTGGCAAATAGTAACCTCTTTAAACAAAAGTAAGAAGACAGAAATTGCAAATTGTGCGGACATGTAACAAGGTATGCCTACCTCTCCAAAACGATATTTCGAAGGTTGGAAGAGAGGAAGAGAAGAATAGACAGACCTTGAAAGATCTAAATAGAGAGTTTGGCAAAATTGGTAGTAGGGTGGTCATGATTATCAGAAGGTCTGGCCTCTGTGTTCATTACAAGCCAGGCTTGGATCAAATCGTAATCCCTGGTATTTCATTGCCTGCGTTTTTTTTTTTTTGGCCACAATCTCTGAACATAGACTTGCAGTTAACGTTTGGATGTTGACTGTATTATGGTTATCCAAAGAGAACTGTGTCACTGCTGCCTTCGCTGGATTGGAAAATACACCAGCTTCACTACACCTATAGTGTATGCGTTTAAGCATCGTATCGGTCAATGTTTTAGAAAGTTAACTCTTTGAGTCCCAAGGAACGCATCTTACGCTCAAAGGTTCCTTACTAGAAGCCTAATGAACGCATGATGCGCCAATTTTATTACTTTCTTTACTACCCCCTGGGCCTGTGATGCTAAACCCCTGGGACTCACAGAGTTAAACTACTGTAGCAATCAAATATATAATGACTGTTTCCTGATATTTGGTTCCAGCAACATGGCCAACAATGAACTGACATCGATAGATGGCCAGCTGTTCAATGGTATGGATCATCTCAGAGACCTGACTCTCAGCATCAACTACATCCATGCCATCCCCGAAGATGCCTTCATTGGGCTCGGTGCTCTGGAGTATCTGTAAGTGGCATCTGTGGTGATTCTGCTGTGCTGAGCCAACGCCTTCGCCATATTAATAGGCCTAGGTGCTGATGTCGTCAGCTTGTCCTGACGTCACCACCCCGGGCTAAGGATACGTTCCTTGTTCACTCTGACAGTCCTGTTTTTTTTTTTCACGGTGTGTTTCCCGGCCACCCCTGAGTACTCCCTATAAAAAGTAAGCTAGAGAAAAAAATGCTCATTTAGGTATAAACACACATATAAACTAAAAAGTAACATTAGAAAAAACATTTTAATATTTAGTAATTAACATGGCTTATACAGTTGATAGGCTTATATAATCTCTATTATCTCATCTTCTCAAAATGTATTAGTTCCCTAATGAAAATAATAATAATACATTCTAGAAATTTTTAGAGGGGTAGTGGGGATGGGGGTATAGAGGGAAAAATGGAGAACGGTGCTGATTTGCTTAGGATATCTCATTTTCAGCTCAAAATATTGTTGGGAGGGGGATACAGAGAACAGCATAGAAACGGAATGTACAATAGAAACTACTTACATATACTTTTATACTCTAGGAGATTTGACTCCTCAGGAAGGTTTCAGTTTTTTTTTTTTTTTCTTCTGGCCAGAGAAAAATGTTTAAACCTAACCAGCACAGCCTGCGACCCTAATTCTCACTCTGAAATACTTGGCCATGATATTTCCCACTTTTGAGGGTATTCTTACCATGCTGTTTATTTTAATCTTTCTTCAACTCTTCAGTCTTTAGCTCTTTCTTCAACTCTTCAATCTTAAACTCTTTTTACAATTCTTTTATCTCTAACTCTTTCTTCAACTCTTTAGTCTTTAGCTCTTTCTTCAACTCTTCAATCTTTAACTCGTTTTCCAATTCTTTTATCTCTAACTCTTTCTTCAAATCTTCAGTCTTTAACTCTTTCTTCATCTCTTTAATCTTTAACTCTTTCTTCAAATCTGCAATCTTTAATTCTTTCTTCAAATGTTCAATCTTTAAGTGTATCTCTTTGAAGTAGTAATTACTGAACATTGAAGCACAACGGATCATAGGTGTCGGAACCTTCGCCCCCCCCCCCCCCCCCCCACTTTAACCCTGGCCCTGTGAACCATCTGTAGAAGTTTTTTTTTTTTAATTTTATTTAATTTTTATTTGTGTTGCACATAAAATACTATATCAAATGCCCAAGATATTTAGGTTGCGAGGTATTGAGCGGACTGAATGATTAGTTACTACCGCGCCTCTGTGCCTTGAGCTACTTTACTATAGTGCGGACGCGGGGAAGGCTCTCTGTGGTCAAATTAACAGAGCATTAGAAAATAGAATCCATTCATTGAAAGACTAATTCTATGAGCGGTGAGTATTCTGGAAGATAGTCAACAGGGAGAGGAAAACAAAGGCGGACTTTTAATCAGACTGCAGCTGGTGTTGTTAGCACAGTGACTCTTCGTTGGCTGCTGAAGAAGGTGACGGCACGTGTGTGAATATCCCGAGTGCAGTTATGTCAATTCTTGATGCATTCCTTCATTCATGTGTTCAAATATATTATTATATTTATTTGATTATTATTTTTTTTTTTATCAGTAATCACTGAAACAAGACGTATACCCCTTAACCCCCCCCCCCCCCTTTTTTTTCCCCTTTTTCCTCCCCAATAGAAAGGACATGGCGGCCCGGTACCATTTGAGCTTTGTGCCAGCCGCTTTTTTTTTTTTTTTTTAATCAGAAAACATGAGTTGTAAACCCTTTGGCTCATTACTATGGATATCGCAACCCTTCGGCCTTAATTCCATGAGTGAAAATATAAATCTGGGAGGTATGTGGCTTTTCTGCCTACCCCTGGGGCGTGAACCCGGACCACAGGGATTCAGTAACCCGGTCGCCGCGCAGTCCGGTTTAGCCAAGTGTGCTAGCCAGCCGGGCCAGCCGCTAAGACAGATGGTATTTGGATGATTGGACTGTATAGAAACAGTTTAATTGACTTTGTGTGTTAGTGCTGGAAGCTTTTGCGTGTAGTCCATCATCAGGATAAACGCTGTTTTATTACTGACGTGATTTGCTTTTATTTTCACAGAAATCTGGCAGAGAATCAAATCAGCGAAATACATTCACGGGCGTTTGTACCTCTCAAGTCGTTGAAAGATTTGTAAGTGTTTGTTATTGTTGTTGTTGATGATGATGGTGTTGTTTGAGGTGGTGGTAATGGTGATGTGTTTGCAGGTGTGCCGCGAACAACAAATAGTTGTCGGGGCCCAGCTCGGCTATAATTTTCTAGGAGGCGGGACTTAGAGGACCTACGCCTTGTTTAAGGGTGCATTAGTAATAACTAGTTATGTTCTAAATGGCACACAAAATAGTATACATAAAATATAAAAACAATTGTAAAAAAATACTTTAAAAAGTAAAACGTCAATCAATGGTTAGGAGGAACCATTTAGTCCCCTTCCAAATTTTCTAGCGGTGGGCTTGTGTACCCTAAAATTTATTGGAGGGAACTCTCATCTTCCAACTCCCACCGATCTTTTGGTTCCGGTGGTTATGGTTAGGGCTGTACCGAATAGTGATTTTTACTATTCGGCCGAATACGAATAGCTAGACCAACTATTCGGCCGAATACGGATAGTGAATCGTCATCATCAGGTGCTTTGCCGACTGGTATGGGCGACTATCCCTCGCCACAATCTGCGATCTCCTGCAGCATGTATTAATTCGTGTACTGACACATCTCCATGCCATGCAACAAGACTGTCAAGAATCTTCTCTTCCTCTATCCCTCCTTTCACAGATCTTTCCAGTGGTCACCACTTGTTCTATTTTCCCTCTTCTCATAACATGGCCGAAAAATGATGACTGTCTCCTGATGTCTGTGAGTAGTTGTCTTCGGGCTCCCAAATCTATCAAAACTTCTTGGCTGCTTTTTTTTGGTTTTTTTTTCTGTCCAGGGTATTTTAAGCATTGTTCTGTAATACCACATCTCTGAGCACCACTCGCCTCGGTTCGATGTACGTTCACTAGTCTTCTCGTAGTGAGCACCGCTCGCCCTAGTTCGATGTACGTTCACTAGTCTTCTTGTAGTGAGCACTGCTCGACCCAGTTCATTGCTGGTTTACCAGCTTTCTTGTAGATAACACCTCTCGCCGAAAGTTCGATGTTCGTTCACTAGTCTTCTTGTAGTGAGCACTGCTCGACCCAGTTCATTGCTGGTTTACCAGTCTTCTTGTAGTAAGCACCGCTCGCCCCAGTTCGATGTTCGTTTACTAGTCTTCTTGTAGTGAGCACCGCTCGCCCCAGTTCGATGTCCGTTCACCAGTCTTCTTGTAGTGAGCACCGCTCGCCTCAGTTCGATGTTCGTTTACTAGTCTTCTTGAAGTGAGCACCGCTCGCCTCAGTTCGATGTTCGTTTACTAGTCTTCTTGAAGTGAGCACCGCTCGCCTCAGTTCGATGTTCGTTTACTAGTCTTCTTGAAGTGAGCACCGCTCGCCTCAGTTCGATGTTCGTTTACTAGTCTTCTTGAAGTGAGCACCGCTCGCCTCAGTTCGATGTTCGATCACTTGTCTTCTCGTAGTGAGCACCGCTCGCCCTAGTTCGATGTTCGCTCACCAGTCTTCTTGTAGTGAGCACTGCTTGACCCAGTTCATTGCTGGTTTACCAGTCTTCTTGTAGTAAGCACCGCTCGCCTCGGTTCGATGTTCGCTCACTTGTCTTCTCGTAGTGAGCACCGCTCGCCCTAGTTCGATGTTCGTTCACCAGTCTTCTTGTAGTGAGCACTGCTCGACCCAGTTCATTGCTAGTTTACCTTCTTGTAGTAAGCACCACTCGCCTCGGTTCCATGTCGTTCACTATCCAGGGTATTTTAAGCATTGTTCTGTAATACCACATCTCTGAGGCTTCAAAAAATTGTCTGGCCTGCCTACCGATTGTCCAGGACTTACAGCCATATGTTAACACTGGATGTATGTAGCAAGCAAGAATTCTTTGTCAAACTTCAATGACAAAGATATGTTGCATAAGATGTTCTTAATTTTATAAAATGCAGTTTTTGCCTGTCCTATTATGTTTCTTATTTCAGTAATACATCTTCCATCTGATGTTATCCTTGTGTCCAGATACTTAAATTTCCGTACTTGTCCCAAAAAAAAAAAACCATTGACTTTTATTACACATTTAGGAGTAATTATTTTCTTTGATACCACCATTACTTCTGTCTTCCCAATATTCACACTGAGGCCCATTCTTCCACTTTCGTGTTTAAAATAGATCTAAAAAGAAAACATCCATAATGCCAAATTTACGCTGACATTTTACTTCACACAATGTAGTACAGAATAGTAAACATTTAAA